AGGGGGAGAGACAGAGAGAGCGAGTGAAATATCGATGTGAGAGTGACACATCTATTGGTTGCCTCACACATGAGCCCCTACAAGCACCAGGGATTGAGCCTGCAACTGAGGTACTTGCCCTTGACTGGAATTATACCCGGACCCTTTGGACCACAGGTTGACGCTCTATCCACTGAGCAAAACCAGGTAGGGCAGAATTTTACATCTATTATGTATTGTTGCCTGGTGGAAACTTCCGTGAAGATCCTATTACACAAGTAATAAACAGACATTGATTCATGGGCCAATCTTTGAACCACAGTCCAGTGGTATAACATCTGTCTCTACTAAATATTTTGAGTGTGTCATGTAAAAAAAAAATGGGGACAACTCTCCAAAGAGTCTTATTTCATCTTTGACCACTATGTTATTCAGCACTTGTTAAACAGAGCTCCTGGCATACAAAGTTCATAGAATAATTTGGAATGAAATACCTTACTGAGTGGATATTTTTTATATGGCAATAGTTTTATCCCCAAGGGCATCAAGTAGTCTTGACAGCTAAGACCTCTTCCAGCACAAGAAAGGGGTAAGTCCACTGGCTGTACAAGAGGGCAGGAAAGAAAGTGGCTTTGCAATATTGAGCTGTTAGGAGACAAACTATCTCAAATTAACTCCTTCACCAGCTGAGCCCTCTAAATCCAGACTTCATAGGCACCATAATAGCATGTTTCAGCGAGGTCTGAAGGGAGGAGAGGGCGGTGGATGCTTCTCTATTTTCTGAGGTCAGGATATCCTTACAGGGTTGCTTGAGTCCAAAGCAGGGAGAAGGGAAATAAATACCAGTCTTTGGTCCCAGATGTAACATAACCAAATCATATGTGTTGTTGGTTAGTTCTGACCTTTGCAGTTATGACTGAGAGCCAGAAAGACTCTGTATTGTGGAGGTTTTCTCCATTTTGTTTGTTTGTATAAAACCAGGGTGGGAAATAGTTGAGTAAAATCCAAGAGTGTCTCTTTAATTTCACTTCTTCGGAGACCTGAATATGAAACTGAAAGGCTCTTGTTTGAAGTTTGATTTGTTAAGGTGGTGACTCTTAGCCTTTTTGAACCTGTAGCCTGTTTTGGTTAGAATAAAAGTTTTCCATTTCCTGAAAGAGTCTGATTTTCTCCCTCCTCCCCACTGTGCAACCTCCTTGAGAGTGATATGCTTTGTGAAGTTAAGGCATCAGAGAAGATGTTATCAAGCTTTAGTTTCTATAATTTTTGTTGCACAAACAATAGGCATTTGTTAGTCTTCCAAATATATAAGCGTGATGATATAGCTGGATGTGCTTTTTCACTCTACATTACACCTTTTCATGCTAATGTATCACTGTTACCCTGTTTCCTTGAAAATAAGAGAGTGTCATATTAATTTTTGCTCCCAAAGATGCGCTAGGTCTTATTTTCAGGGGATGCCTTATTTTTCCGTGAAGAATACGGTACACATTTATTGTTAAATGAAAATAAAGGAAATTTATTACCTGTATACGGTATGGTAGTACGGTAGTTGTCAACACAAACCAGACAAACTGTGAATCCTATAGTATCAAGAATTTACTCATTTATTCATCTTCTGGAACATCATCAAAACAATCCAATTCCTGAATTTCCTGGTGAATTTCTGTGACTCCATTTCTTTCAGAATCAGTGAACCAAATCTCTCATGTTTAGCTTGGGGGGGGGCCTTATTTTTGGGGGGATGCCTTATATTTCACTCAGAAGGAAACCTGTAACTAGGTCTTATTTTCGGAGGATGTCTTATTTTCAGGGAAACATGGTAGTACAAAACGTCCAGCAATTTCAGAGAGCCCATAGATCTCCTGAGACTCATGAGTGAGCTCTCAAGGGACTGTTTCTCCCAACCCTACGTGACCTCATAGGCTCTTTTCCCATCCTTTTGGATGTCTTTGACACTGTTAGAATAAATTTTAGAGTTGTAACTGGACTTAGTCGTCACCTAGTCCCATCTGTGCATTTTATGGAAATAGATTCCCAAGGAGTTAAGCAACTTTCCCAAAGTTATACCACTGTGTTTGCACCACAGACCCTGAGCAAGAACTAAGGTCACTGAATTCCCTGCTCAATATTCTTTCCACTAGGTTTTCAATTGCTGCATCTTCCCTACTTTATCCCATCCCTTTTAAAGATAGCAACCAATGCTACAAAACAAATGCCAGTGTGTAGTAAAATCTGCAGTAGTATTTGTATACTAACTAGAGGCACAGTGCATGAAATTTGTGCAAGGGGGAGGTGTCTCTCAGCCCAGCCTGCACTCTCCAATCTGAGATCCCTCTAGGAATGTCCAACTGCCCATTTAGGCCCGATCCCATAATCCCTGTCATAATCCAGGACTCCTGGCTCCCAACCACTCACCTGCCTGCCTTCCTGATTGCCCCTAACCACTTCTGCCTGCCAGCCTGATCACCCCCTAACCATTCCCCTGCCAGCCTGTTTGCCCACAACTTCCCTCTTCTGC